GTCCTGGCTGTGAGGCAGGGGTGCTGTGCCTTCACCCTCACTCTGGGGTGCAGCCTCTTTCCGGCCTCCCTGATAGGGATGGAGGAGACATCTGGGTTCTGCAATTGGGCAGCATCACGTTGCTCCCTGAGCACCACCGTGAAGTGTCCCGGGGCAGTCACCAGCCCAGCCACAACCCACCATTATTACACCAGCATAGATCTCTCCTCCCACTGCTCCAGAAGGGTGTGCCTAGTTATTGATGTTGAAGGCCCCCTTACTCCTGACCTTTTTCTCTTTCCATCTTATCTGCAGTGTCTTCATGAGCGCAGTGTTTTCCCAGCATGGGTTCCTCGCAACAACAATTAATTGCACAGTGTGTTATTTGAGCTCAGAACTGTTAGTGCCTCAGCATCGTGGGCACCCAAGATATCCTTGGGAAGCTCTGCTCTACATATCCCGTTGTTAGGACTGGTTTTCCTACTTTTCCACGAAGCTTGGCTTCTCCATCTATGGTTTTGAGACTTCCCAATGGCCAAAGACTTTAAGAGGAATTTCTCCCTCCTGTGGTCAGAAGCAGACTCTTTAACCTCTCCCTGTTTCAAAGCCTCCATCCCCTTGGAGCTGCTCCTAGGTTGCTGTTTTCTATCTGAGAGACGCCTCTCGCCTCTGCCTTGAAGAGCAGCGATGACCATCTGCTCTTAGTCCAGTGACTTTTTTTTTNGGTGTTGCCTGCACTGCGCTCAGCCAGTGAGCGCACTGGCCATCCCTATATAGGATCTGAATCCGCGGTGGGAGTGCCGCTGCGCTCCCAGTGCTGCACTCTCCCGAGTGAGCCACGGGGCCGGCCCAGTCTAGTGACTTTTGATGTCAGCTTCTGGTCTCTGATCAGACCTGCCCACATCTAGGGGAACCCTGGGCTTTGTTGATGGGGTGGCCCTCCAGGATCCTGCCATTCACCTGGATCTCAAAATACAACATCCACAACAGACGTGTTTTCTGACGTGGGAAAAGGAAGATATTTTCTTGTTCAGCATGTGTTTGCAGTTTTCTAGGGCTCTTTCTGATACAGAAGTTTAGACCATGGGTGTTTCCCTTTTCTTCCATCTCAATCCCGTTGTGCCTATTTTCCTCATATAATGACATCTTGTGTAACCTCCTGTTTATCCCTCAGTGACATGCGTGAACGTGTTTTGGGGGAAGTAATTCCCAGCAAGGGTTGTCAGAAGCTTGAGCATTTGTGCCTTAATAACCGTAGCTGGGGGGATGAGTAAAGGAAACCATCTGGAGTCATGAAGAGTTTACTCCCTCGGGAACTTGCTGGATCTGGGGAGCAAGTTATTCTTGTTCTCAGCTTCCTCACCTTGTCTGGATCAAATTTCAAATTAAAGAACAGTAGGGATGGTTCCCCCTTTTTTTTTGATCACGGGGAGGAGATCTGGTGCCCAAATCCCTATTTTTTACTTTTATTTTTTTAGCACTTAAGAGTGTTTGAAATTATTTTGTGAGTATATATATTAACATGATATCTGTCCATCACCCCCAAGAATACAAACTCCACAAGAGCAGAGACCTCGTCTGTCTTGTTCACCTTTGGTACTCCTGGTGCTAGAACAAGGTGTAGTATGTAAAGGGCAGCTCAATAAATGTTTGCCTGGATAAATAAAATCTCTCTGTCCCCCCTCTGCAGTCCCCTTTGAAGACTGCCTCAGTCCCTCAGGGATGGGTGGTAAGACTGCCCAAACCATGGCACCAAGCTGAATTTTAAGTCTGGGGTGTCTTCGGTGGCTTTGGAGGAGAGATGGGCAAGGTTACGGGAAAGGATGTTGAATTTGCAGAAGGTCTGGGTTTGAATCTTAGCTCTGCCATTGACTTATTTTGGGGACCTCTCAGCCTTAATTTGTTTTATCCATACAGGAAGAATAAAAATTGCCTCCCCCCACATACTTTGCAACTCTTGGTTGATGAATGTAGAAAAAGT